TGGTAAAATGTCTTTGAAAATGTCATTTGTGCAGACCGTCATAAAAGACAAAGGTGACCCGCAGTATTCTAGAGCAGCAGGGAAAACATGCTACGGAGTTGGTGAATGTCATACTTATGCCGTTTCTATTTCGCGGCACACCAGGCAGGCAATGAATTTCTGAAGGGTTGATGACAGTTGTCTGGCTTCAATTGGATTGTACTTACTCAAAACAGAGTCTTACTTGATGTTCTTCGCAACGAACAGAGTTCCGATGTCAAAAAAGGTTATCCCTTTCTACACATCCTGAACGCGCGATATATGACTGCTTCTTCGCATCGTCTCCGGTACTAATGACCAAAACCGTCACTTAATTGCTTTTTCCACGATGTTGCACTGATCCCCATCGGGCCCATGATAAGAATAAAACTTAATAGAATTGCTACGAGCTCTCAGAAAGTCTAACTTAAGCGATCTAGTCGTCTACATTCCAGATACTGATGGGTTTGTTATCATTGATTTTGTAGGCTCATATATTTTTCGAAGTCATGCAGAACAATTGAATAAAAAGCTGTACTGCATACATTGCTATACCAACTTGAACGATCCCAAATATGGGATTCACCTAACCTATCTCTCAATTCCGCTTTTTTCTCGGTTTTAGGTCACATTGGCCTTGTGTTCGGGCCATGACGAAAAATGCAGTGAATTGATACATAATGCGGCTGGAGCAGAGCTAGGAAAGAGTTGGAGCAGCTGTAAGCTGGCGGAACGAGGTGTTGAAATATGCGGTCAGCGGTTGGAGATTTAGCCGAGCACAGGGGTATGCCCTCCGCGAGCGATCAAAAAAGGATCTGGTGTAAATCCATGTATATCGGCAGCGAAAATGATAGCAGCGTTGCATCCTGTTTTCTGCTTTTTCCATCCAAATCTTTTGCGTTTTTCAAAAGCTTAGTGACAATTACCAAAAACTTAAATCATTGCAAATTCAGTTACTTTGTTGACTGAAAAATTGTCGTCCCTTACCAGACTCAGTGACGGCTGTTTTTATTTTCCATCAGCCCGTAAATATTACATCAATGGAAATCCACCCGTTAGATTTGCGTGGACAGGAGCTTTCCAATGCTGTAGCCAAACCTCATACCAGTTTGAAGGTCATAGCCCAGCTTAGCTTAATACGCGATCTAAATGAACATAATGAGAAATTATCACATCTGTTGTGGTCTCGGTCCTCCCGCGCCTCAAAAGGCGTCTTACTGTTTACAACGTAAAGATGCAATTCCGAGGACATATAGATACAACAGATTACTTGAAGAAACTTTTCAAAATTTGTCACATATTTCATTCCAGTGCTATTTTTGAGGAGCGCAACCCATTAATGGTTCCCAAAATGGCATCTGCCATGCGAAAGTTTACTAGCCAGCACCAGTCAGTTTGTTATCGTTTTAGATCATTTGGAGACCATGTTGAACGGTGCTACACACTAAGCAGTCCCAGCCAAGCATTTTACATCATAAGTTTGTTTGTTGATATTATATATATATATATATATATATATATATATATACATATATATATACATAATATTATATTATAAGTTTATTTGTATAAGTTTGTAATTGTACCAGCGGGTTTAGAAAGCCTTTAATTCAACTAGTACCGTTCTCCGTTTGGTATCATTCTCATAATGCTCCACGAAAGTTCAACAGTATTTGCACTTCTATATAATAAATTCACTATAAGGTCCGTCGACCCCAACCAAAACGCTTGGCCTCACCAACACCGAGCTACCGCACGAAACCTGTCGACGGCGACAAAGACGGAACACGCCGCGACGACAGCGTACGAGTCGTGTCCGTCTGACGGTGCGTCGGAGCGAGCGCATCGGGCTTACAGAGACCTGTCTGAGCCCGCGCGGGAGCGATACCGCACCGAGACCTGACCCCGATTCGACATGCGGTCCATCATTACCCAATTACGCTCGCGTTTCGGCCGGCGACGCCAGGCGCTGTGTCTTGTTACGCAACGGGCTCCGTCCCTCCATTTGATCTGATACCGGGCCACCTCAGGGGGCTTGCTCGTTTTGTGGTAATCCGTGAGCATTTGTGACATTTCATGCCGAGATCATATTAGGAAAGCTAGAGCGTTCTTTACATCGATCGCTGGTCTTCAGGATTGTCGTTACGCGAGGGAGTAAATCTGCGGCGTTACCCAAACTCCTAAATTCTGTTGCGAATAGCGGTTATTGAACTTCCCACCCCTCGAAAGAATCTCTGGCATGATGCCAGGGTCGTCAGCCCACAGTGTGGACCATCTAGGTATGATATCCGGGTGCAGATGCGCTGTGCCGGTCAAAAGGAGCGCTGTCGCGTCACCGCCTTACTCATATCGGGGTCGAGTAGCCAGGAGGGCCTGCACGTTGAATAAAATGTTCGGCGATTGGTGACAACTTGATCCAACGTAACAGGGTGTATATTCATGTAAAGACATATTCGAGTGACGTCATGACTTGAAAGGGATGAAATATGACGTTGTTGTGAACCTGTCCTTAGTGGATCTATATGTACTTAGTGGATTCCAGTTGCGCCGGCAACTGCCAACATCCCGCGGTGAGTTGTGCATGCAATGTATATGTGCACATACATGCATAAATACGAGCCCATTAGTTTCACGCAGACTTTGGTCATGACTTTTACCCCTAGGTTCTGTTCACATTGCTTCGAGGCGAGAAGCAAACACGCGTGGAGGTGGGCACCGGGTGGGCTATTGGGTTCCGAAGGCTTTCCCAACATCCAATAAAGTAGGCAGGGTCAGCACTCAATCTCCGCCTGATGAAATCGGGTCACTCGAACTCTCCGCCCGACCGCGCGGACAGCGCAGACACGACCAGCTCCTAATGATCAGTCTGGGTCTCGAGGGTCTGGGCCAATTTCGGGGGTAGGTGAACAGCACAATGCGTCCTTACGCCGAGTCGCCCGGCCCCCGACGACCGACATCTCACCGCGATGTCTCGGGGGCGGTTTGGAGGTCAGGCGTACAGCGGGCGTCGCGGCTCGGGAGATCACATCGTCTGGCTCCGAGACACGCTGCAGCGACACTAATCGATGGATGAACGTGTCATGCACGACGTCGCCCCGTTTGGCTGGACCGCAGAGGCGGTCAGATCAGGGCGGACTTTCCAAACGGTGCGCCGAAGGTTTGGAGCGCGCCAGACGGCGCTCCAGCTGCTAGCGGATGAGGCATTGCCGGCATTAACTTTGTACATGATACAGGCGTTTCTAATTAACTTTTTGTGGCGTGAAATGAATGGTTCGCAGGTTTATGGGTGTGGGGAAACGGGCAAGAGTACGTTTTCTCTCTCATGGGATATCGGCTCGAGGGGGCCAAAATATTTGACGCTCAAGAAAGCACGGCAAGGTAAAAGTTGATTATCACCAAAATTTGGAATTCGTCTTTACCTGTCAAAAAACCCTGCCCACAAGTCAAAGAGCAAGTGACATCTGCCAGCATTGTTCACAGCAAAATGTCAGGGAGCGTTTAAGGACAAGTAGCGGAATGGCAATGGACATTAACATAACGCGCGATGTGCGATCGTTTTCTTAGTTGGCTGGTCGCAAGCAGATCCCACTCTAGCAAACAAACTGGTTGTTAACGAAAGACTAGTCGGTTCCACCTTTGCTTCGGTTTCAGCCTTTGCGTATCAACGCATATACCGCGTTGCATATATTTTCATGTGTTTGCTTCCTGTAGTTCATTACACTCAACTGTCTGGACACGGAGCATGAACAACTCTATACGGATTGTTCAGACGTGCCCAAAGCTAGCGCCATAACTAATCAGCTCCTCACTCATTACTTACGGCTGTGGGCTTCGGACCCCGTGCTATTTTTAGGCCTTAAGGCGCTAGGTCCTGCCACTTCAGATGCCTAACGGGGCGTGGGGCCTGCGGTGTTGTCATAGAAGAACGTGGGATATCTCAGCAAGGCTTTCCTTGAAGTGACGGTGATGTGCTGCTTCCGATGGGTGCTTGCTAACTACCAGACAGAATATATATGTATATATATATATATATATATATATATATATATATGTATGTATATATATGCATATTTGGTTCGTAGACGGCATGTTATTGCTATTTAAGGTATTACTACAGCCCTGCCGTCTTTTCAGTTCAATGCATGGATTATTACTGGACCAGCTTCCGCTCCCGTCTGTACTGGCCACCGTTTCCATCTGCCGGCGCATGTCCATTGTTCCACATTTCGTCGCGGCATTCTGCCTGCTGGGAATATATAGTAGATATTGAACGTGACATAATTCACACTTATTGAGTCCGCATTTCTACCCGCATGTTAACAGTTTGGAATTTGTCTTGATCGTTTTATTCATTGTCACAAACTTCTGAAATTTAAGTGCATTTGAGTATTTATAACAAGCAATATCTTGCGTCTGGTCATTGATGGATATGTTAAATATCAGTTTCCATGAAGCTGATCAGACCAGAATTAACGTATGTACCTCTGAGCTGGCATGTTTTTACTCTCAATTAGTGCAGGAGCCAGCACTGTGCTTGGCATGCATCTGCGCGGTTGAAATATTGATGAACAGTGCATGTGTCCGCGACAAAGTTACATTTTTCTGACCTCCGCGGACATGGCTTCTGGTCCCGAGGTCAGGACGTCGCGGGGTCAGATCAGGCCGTGACGGGTTCAGTCACGAATGACGATCTGGATCCTGGATAAAATTAGCCCGTGGGTACACATCAAAGGCTGTCACAAACTTGCAATCGTCAACCCTTCCCACCCATCCGCCGCATACTCGCCCGTCGCGCAGTCTCGGGCACCAGCTGTCCGTTACATCCGTCTGCCGCCCCGGGTCGCGGCGCGGCCGGCGGGTATCCGGCCGCGGGCTGACCCAGCTTCGCTCTCCAGCGTCGCGGCGATGACGCGCGCCGGCGGTGACGCGGCGCCGGTGGCGGCGGCCGCCGCCGCCGCAGCTCAGTTCGCCGCGCGCCGCCGAGGAAGTGGGTTGGACCGCGCGCCGAGCAGCGAAGCCGCGCGAGACAGAGTGCCCGCCGCCGCCGCCGAGTGCCCGCCTCTTCGACGTTCGTGTCGGCACCGTTCCGTTAGAGGGAGCCGGAGCAGGGCTCGGGACTATGTCCCCCCGACACATTGACGCCAGGTGAGGACTCGACCGCCGGAGAGATCCGGGAAAGAGGCGCCGCCGCCTCTGGCCGGTCGGTGACGCTCCGCCGGTGAAACCCTGTGCGCTCGGCCGGCGCAGGGGCGTCACCAGCGGGGCATTGTCGGACGCCAGCCGACCCTGGCCCGACGCGCTGGCTGGTGAACCGTGGCCGGACCGAAAACAAACGGCGCGGCGGCGCAGTCAGCGGCGATGGCGACTATTTGCGATGGGGTCGGTCGTTGGGGACTGTTCCACCAAAGCGTGCCGTCTCACCGTCGGGGTGTATCAGGAGTTGGAGCCGGGCCAGCCTAACGGCTCACCTTGTTTAACCGCTCGAATGTCCCACTGTGGCTGACACCGAGGTCTCCGGGCTGTATTGCGGGCGGCAGCCAAGGACTCAGCGAACGTTGCGGAGAGCGTTCACCTTTAATGCACGTCCCGAGTTTATGGTTGTGACCCCTGAAGCTGCCTGCAGAATGTTACAGAACGAACAGCTCCTCGCGGTGCCTAGATGACTGTCAGTCGCCAGACAACGAATTCTGACTGACGTGTGAACCAGGCGTGTCTTGCCTCGCCCAGTAAACTAAAAACGCATTTTCCTCGGCCTTTTATGGAGCTAAGCTGGTACAGAACGCTGATTCGCGTGTTTGAATCAACAAATCCTCCGTGTTTTTATGCTGGCATGTTGTTCGTTGTGCCCGATAGGACTGTGCTTCCCGTCAGGAATGACCCTCGCGTGCATGTTCGTTGGCGCGACTTTTGTCCCGCCCGTAGCCACGTTAGGGACGTGGCCGTCGCCGTCAATCTGTCTTCCAAATCACCCGAAGCGCAATCCCGCAATCACATGATTTGTAGCGGCGGTGGTACCGTTCGCGGCACCGGTGCGTCACTGGAAAACAGAGAGCCGCGCCGGCTCCGACGCCGGTGGGAACCCGCCCGCCCCCCCCCCCCCCCCCCCCCCGTCTCTCCTCACGACGGGCCCGTCCTTGCCCAGCTGACTGCGCGGCCGCAATTCCCTGCCTGGGGCGTAAGAGAAACGGCCGCCAGACTGATGGGCGTCCTGCGGCGGACGGCCGCCCGGGCCGGGGAGCGGACGGGGCGGCGGCCGCGGCGCCGGCCAGCGCCGGTCTCGGCCAGCCAGCTGGATCGCCCCTCCGGAGCGGTGGGGGCACCATGGAGAAAGGCTGGATGCGGAAGGTGGGATGGAGCGTGCAATGGTGGGCTTAAGGCAGAGACACCATCCAAGAAAATAAGCTGGGGGCAGGGCACGAAAGATTTGCTCGTTTTCATCTCAAAGTTGCGGTTGTTGAAGCCTCCCCCCCCCCAACAAATAAAAATTACACCCCTGGCGTAAGGGAGCGCACGAGGAGATGGCCAGACGACGACCAGATGGCGAGGTTGTGATGATCGTTGTGAAAGGCCATTGCTGCATTGTTGCTGCCGTGTCGATCCCCTTCAGTCCCGCTCTTGCTTTTCCAAGCATGGCCACGAGGAAGCTGTGTTATCTGTGACATCCCACGAGATGCTGCAATTAGAAGGCCTTCTTGACCGCATTGCCACACCACACAATGGCGATTTTTCGATTCCGGCACACAATGTGCCCGATGTTGGGCAACGGCAGGCGGTCAGAATGAAGGGGCCCAGCCCGCCACACACACACACACACACAGCCAGACAATGGGCCGAGCGGGCGACGGAGCCGACAAGAAGCCGCCGGGATGCCCTGACGAGGGTGTACGGTGGTGCAACGCCGGGGCTGACCGCGGCTGGGAAGCTCCAGACGGGGCTGCTGTCACTGCCGCTGGTGACGTGCCGACCGTTCCGCGCCGCGGCGGTGCAGAGCTGGTGCTCGTCACGGGGGGCTCTGGCCGGTGTTGGTAAGCGGAGAGTTGAGGACCACCACTTGGCTTGGACAGCAGTATGAAGGACACAAAAAGACCCATCGCGACAAAGCAGGACTTGAGCGCCTTTTCTGTAAAGACTCTGTGGCCTCTCGAAGCATGCCTCTAGCCTGATGCTGGCGTGAACGAAAGTTTTTTCTAGTGTAAATATCATATCGATCACAAACGTTAGTGCCTACAATGCGCTTTTGATCACCAAGGCTGTCAAACGCATCCATGGCTGACGCCAAGCAGAACACATGCCGTTTCTCCTTGTCAGGTGAAAACGACGCCGTAAAATGCGCTGGCGGAGTGGCGGACATTAATTAAGCCCGCCGTGCGTTACGTTGGATGATATTCTGCTTGCGTTCGACCCCAAACCAGTGAACACCCAGTTCCGACGCTTATTGTTCGTCCCAACTGGCGTCAAAACTGACCCACTTGCGGTGATTTAGTGTCGCGGGTGTAGGCACGCACGTAGCATGTTTGGCCGTTGGGCATCGTGGGACGGAGGACCCATGTGCCCGGTTTTGCTTGCGTGCCCCCTGACCGGTCCAGCAACGCGCGGGTATCTTTGGGCGGTGCACCAACACGAGGCGAATGGCGCGCACAGCACCTGCTCCGCCGTACGGTTCCGGGTTGGCTCGGTGGTGCGGAGCAGTAGGTAAAGCATGCTTCACTTCGTAAAAGGAGAGAGCATCCGGCCAGGTCAAAAGAGTCTGCATTTCTGAGCTTCTTCGGTAATGCAGCGTTTGTTCCTCTGTCCTTGTCGCAAGGAACGAGAACTGTAAACGTTTAGTTGGTTTGGGTGACGATATTTATGCCGACATACTGATGTACCTTAAAGACAGTATAAAAATTAATGACTGATTCTGGCCAGATTGTTTTCTAGCATGCCTGAGTACGGTGAGCTGAGTATGTCTGGACTATGGGATTGAGGCTCCGTATGCTCAGAGCGTTCCCTCACCTGTTGAATAGCCCATTTGTCGTTAAGTGATCTATTATGCTCGAGGTCTTAACCCATTTTCCACGGCGATTAGCTGGCGCAGGCCCTTGTGCGGAACCGGCCGCTTTTATTGTTGCTCGGGTACGCTGATCAGCTGCGCCTATGCGCTTCTGAGCCGAACCGTCGTGCACATCCAGTCTGACCTCTACCCGTGACTGGAATGTGTGCGCTCGATACGCGCGCATCCCGTTGTCCGGTTGTCCACGTGCCTAACTCGCGTGTGACCCAGCTCCACCACCCACCGTGTGCTTGTGCCAGCGCCTTGTCATCTCTCGCTCTTTATCCCTGTCGAATCCTGGTCTCCGTTCCTGACCCGGTTTTGACGCCACTCTGCCCTCTTTGGTGCGTCCGGGCTCACCGCCTTAGCGCTGTTTATTCGACTCTGTAACGGTCTGACATTCCGCGGGTTCGTTCTAGGGCTCGTCAATCGTGCTGGTTTTGTTGTCGTATCGAGCCCAGCGGCTCTACCAGAGAGCTACCGTTTGTGGGATCTGGCACACCCCGCCAGTTGGTGCTTATTAACCACATGTAAATCTCAATGTGTGCTGCGCTGCGTTGTCCTGATTGGGGCCCGATGGGGCTCCGGATGGGACCCAGCACACGGGGATGCGGCCAGATTCATTGCAGCTTATCATCTCTCTCGTTCGAAACACATGCCTCATTCGTGTAAATGCTCACCTCACCATTAACCTTTCAATCGTCACCTGTGTCAGCCTCACCATTATTCCAGGCCTCTGGAACGTTAGTCCCAGCCTCACGTGTTTCTCACCTCACCTCACCCTCGCTGCCATCATTCTCACTGTTAGCGTAAAAGCGGTCCTGGTCCTATATCGATCTTCACCAGCTCCTCGCAAGATAGCCTGTGGGTGGCCATGCTCGCACCTCGATCCTTCTCGGCCCCCTTCACATGGGGCCCTATGGATGGCCATGCTCGCACCTCGATCCTTCTCAGCTCCCTTCACATGGGACTCTATGGATGGTCATGCTCCCACCCCGATCCTCCCCCCCCCCCCCCCCCGCTTCAGTGGCCCGGTGGATGGTCATGCCCCCACCTCGATCCTTCCCAGCCCTCCACGTCCGTGGCCCTGTGTGTGACGAGGCCGCGTCCTGCTCAGCCGGCCGCCGGCTCCCTGCAGTGCGGCTGGCGCGGCTGGCAGTCCGACCATGCTGCCGACCGTGACTTCAGGGATACGTCCCCACTCAACGGCACCGCAGCCAAGGACAGCTGACGGCCTCCGCTGGCTGTCGCGCAGTGGCCACTTTTCATGGAACGCCGACAGTCAGCTGGTGTTTACTTGTCGGTTATAAATGAGCCTGTATTTTACGACTCGTTGCTTTGTTAGTGCGGAAACGTTCCCATTGTGATGGCAGATCCGTTTCACCTATGATATCCCCTTTTCGAGGTTATTTCATTTTAGCTGTCAAGACTGGAATAATAAACAGGTGTCTGCTGTTTTGAACGAGACTGAGACATATTAATTGACACTTGTTCCAGAACCGGACATAAAGAAGTCGACCATTTTAAGGTGATGTGGAGATGAAACTTTCCTATTCAGTTATTTCGATAGATGGTGGGAACCACAAAAGCGTCCAAATTAACCGCGATTGAACATTCTCTATAACTCGCACTTGCTGTTGCTGTAACTCCGCAAGACCCAACCTCAGAAGCATTTAAATATCCAGCCCTCTTAGCCTTTGGAGCCTCCTCCTGTCCACAATCATGCCTGAGCTCTACCCAGCTGATTCTTGGTCCGTGGGCTTCGATCGCGGAGCGCGGCTCTGACCGTTACCCGGACCTGTCGGGAGTGACGCCGTGAGTCGGCCCGTTTCACCGCTCCCCACCGCCGCTTCCGGCCCGCAACAGCACGCACCGCGCTGCTGCGCCGGCAGCAGCCCACAGTCGCCCGTTACCTGCCCCCCCCCCCCCCCATCCCCACCCCGTCCTCCTGCCCCTTAATCGAATGGTACTGCCGGTCAGCTGATATCGGCGCCCTCGGCAGCGGCTTCTCGAACGCTCGCCGCCACCTCCTGTGGGCCACGTCCGGACGCCAGCGCCGCCGCCGCGCGCCTGCTGACCCACTGGCCTATATGGCTGCGCGCGCGCATCCGCCTTCCCACCTGGCCGCCGGTCCCGAGTCGCTGTCCCCAAAACGCGGCACCCCTCCGCCGCAGCGGCGCTCCCCGCGGCGCCCGCGGCGCCCGCGGCGCCACCAGCGGCCGCCGCGCCGGGAGAGAGGCGCCCAGGACAGGACGTCCGGCTCTTCTGGCGCCAGAAGCTGGTGACGTCACGGCGGCAGTGAAAGTTATTGGTCATCGGCCGACACGGAGGCGCCGCTCTTTCGCGCGGACGCAGTCGGACTCTGCGCCGGTGTCCGTCGCGCGGGCGGGTTCCTCCGCGTGACCCGCCGCCCGCCGGCGGGGCCGACGGGGGACCGCCGCTGGCCTCCTACCCGGGCGACTCGCGCCCTCATCCGGTCCCGGCACGGACGGTCCTCTTGCTGCCGGCCGGGAGCGACGTGGCTGGCGTTGCGTGGGCGCGGCGGAACGCTTCCACCACTGGTCGGAGGGTGGCCACCGCCGTCTGGCGCCCTGCCCGCCGCCCCGGGCGTGGGAAAGTCCGTTCCGTCGGCGCTGTCTGCCTCGCCGCCGTCGGACCAATGACCTGGGCCTGCGGTCGGCGCGTGCCAGGAAACCGGGCCACCGCGCTGCCGCCGCTGGAGACCGTTGCCTTTTGGTTCTGGGGTGCAGTTGATTAAACTGTCTTCGGGGAAAAGTCGTCGTAGGTCGCTATTTTCTTCTGTGCACAGGGGCCCTTCTGCGTCAACCTTCTGGGCGTTGATGCAGAAGGCTGTCGTTGTCTGTGTGCCCCGCTAGCTCTGCCGCGCGCTCCTGTTGTTGAGCAGCATCCGGCGTCAGCTCTCGTTCCAGCTCCGCTGCTGCAAACGCGCCCGTCAGCCGCCGCTAAACGGCGCCGGGCCGTTTGTCTGGCCGAGCGAGCCGTCTGCCGCGTTATTGGCTTAGCGGCGGTTGCCGAGACCAGCGCGCGCGCGCGCAAAACGCCGCGTAACGGTCGGCGAAAACGGGGCCCGGTGGCGGCGGCGGCGGCCGCCACCCGGCTGCTAACTGCTGTGCGACCGCGTCGGCGAACGACGGCGCGCGGCGGCGTTCTCACCGCGCGCCGCCGTCGCGTGGCCTATCACGGCGCGGTGACATTTCGCCGCGACTAACGGCGCGCGTCCGCGCCGGATGGGCCGCGGCGGCTGTAGCCATGATTTGCTTCCTCTTGCGGCAGCTGGCGAGCGCGTGCGGCGGCTCCCAATGGCCGGTGCGGAACTCGGGGACGGAGAGGGACGCGGAGGGTGGCGCGCAGACAATGGGGTCGGGGCTGCGTGGGGAGTGGCTTCAGCTCCTCCCTCCGACCGACCCTGTCCAAGAGCCATGCACCGAATGCTCGATGGCGGCGAAGTGAATCCTGCGATTTTGTTTTACGAAAGGGCTACGGCGCGCACATTGTCTCGCGCCTTTGTGGAGGGCCAGTGGGTACGGCATAAAAATGTCATAAAGGCACTGAAAAGCCCTACCTTAAGTCAGGAAGCGAACCTACGTGCCAGACAGCTACAGCGAGTTACCCCAAGTCATAAATACAGCCGCCTTCAAAGCATCCCTGCGGAGGCACGTGAAGAATTTCCCTGGAATCTAGAACGGCTGGCGTTTCGCGGAGGACAATGCGTGCGTTCTGGAAATAGCATGTGCGCACTTCCGGCTTACTCACATCCGGTGTTACCCAGAGCGCCGTAAAATGGGGCGGATTCTGTTTGAGTTGTCCAGGAGAAAGTGCGACCTGTCAGCATTTTTACCACGGAATATCGCCAGCGACATGAAATTCGCCGCACTACCATAAATCCGAGTCCGGTACGCGCATTAAAGCGAGAAGAAAGAGTGGTCAAATATCACCATACGTCTGGAGAGATGGGGAAGTATGGCCGATAGTGGACCTTTGGAAGGCCGTCATTACTTGGTGGCCAGGAAAGGATTCTTTTCAGCGCTTTGACGTATTGGGCGTTTGCATAAATTGATATGAAAATTCCCCATGCACATGTTGTCCATGTACTTAGGAAAAATGTTTTCATTCAGGCTTAGGTGGCTATGCGTCAAGATATAATTGGTCCTTATCTGCCTTTTCTCATTTTTTGTATATGACGATTCAGAATGAGCTGTCCAGGAGAAAGCGAGACCTACCAGCATTTTTTGTCTAGCGGGTAAGAGAGAGAGAGAGAGAGAGAGAGAGAGAGAGAGAGAGAGAGAGAGAGAGAGAGAGAGAGAGAGAGAGAGAGAGAGAGAGAGAGAGAGAGAGAGGGAGAGAGGGAGAGAATCAGAGACAGAGACAGAGACAGAGAGAGAGAGAGAGAGAGAGAGAGAGAGAGAGAGAGAGATGTACACACACACACACACATACACACATATATAGATATATAGATATAGATATATATATATATATATATATATACATGTGTGTGTGTGTGTGTGTGTGTGTGTGTGTGTGTGTGTGTGTGTGTATAATCATTCTACTTTAAACTCCTGGGGGTCGTCTAGTGATGTGTCTGATGAATATGTTCCAAGGGATCTGGTGCCATCCAGCAAGCACATCGGGTGGCCATTGTGTGACCTCTGTGCCCTGCGCCCGTGCTGACCCGGATGTTCTGCTTTCAGGTTACCATGGGCGTGCGCTGTCCTAGTTGTCGCCCTCACGCTATGTCGTCCTGTCGCGTCTGAGAAAGGTGAGATGAGCGTTTTTTTGTGCTGTAAGAGCCTGTCTTGTTTGGCCCTTTCTAAGCCGTCATCTTAGATCGCACTTAGTATCAGTAGCACAGCTCACTGGAGGTGACCATCAGAATCGTGCCGCGGTCGAAAAACACGTCGTGCGTTTCGGGCCCCGCGTCCCAGATTTTGGATCCGGATGCAGGATCTGAGACTCAGGTGTGTCGTGGCCAACTACGTCCATCACCACGTCTTTTTGAGATGGCAGAACATTGGCCCGATCGGACGGTTATGTTCGGAAGAAGGGTGCGTGCGTGAAGGGTGCGAAAAGGGTGCCCTTTCTGTGACATGAATCCTACATCCGGAATTACCCATAATGCAACTCACGCTTTGGTTGTAGGACATTCTGGGTCCCAGATTGTATGCTCCATTTGCCCTTCACGACCCCTTAATGATGGCATGCATATTCTTGCTATCTGTGGAATGTTTGGTTACTGCTATGACCAGTGACCAGTGGCCAACCCACTCTGCTTTTGAAGGGAAAGATGGCGCTGTGCAGCCTATGGATAAACATGAAATCGAGATCAAATACACTGTCTGGGAATAAAATCAAGCCAATCCCTTAGAGTGAGTCGGTATATATAGGCACCATGTATGTTGGAAGGTGCTGTACTAATTGCCCACTGAAGTACGTTTTCGTGACGCATTGAATTTAAACGTCACAGTAAACGCATTGAGACTGACTGGGTAATATTTCATGCCATGCCCACTTGTGACAATGTCTCAGCAACTGAATGACTCATTAAGTGACCTGACCGGTCGAGCTCAGGCCCACCACGTTAAACTACACACAGTGGGAAAGTCGTCTGATGACTGGCCCTTGCACGTCGGGAGCATTTCTTTTCTCATGGGTGGTATTCTAGCCTGCATGAAAATCAGACGCTCTGTCCATTGCCGGACATGCCGGTAAACCAGCCGTCTCCTTTGAGAGACCGCTGTCGCCGCCGCCGAACGTCACACCGCGGCCGAAGCCGTCCCATCCGCCCGCGGCTGTGGCTCTCGTGCCCACGCTCCGACCCCCCGGAGAGCGCCGCTCGCAGTGTGTTGACGTGACCTGGACAGATCCGGTTGCCTTGTTGATGCGACCCGGCCGCGCGCTCCACGGCCGCGACCGCCGGCCGAATGGAGCGTAATTGTTATTTACCGTAGACGAGCGGACGGGCCGGAAGCAGCCGCAAGTGGACTAGGGCTCCGACCAACCCGCTACTTTCGGAGGCGCAAAAACGGCCGACGAGGGAAACCGGCGGACGTCACACGAGACGTGCTTGGTCGGCACTGGCCGCCTCCGCCGCGCTGCGCCGAAAGAACGCGGGCTCACACGGGTGCGACTGGAGGGCGCGGGCTGACGAGGCACGTGGTTCCCGGAAGCGGTTGAAGGCGGTGGTTTTCCATGTCGGTGCCACATAACCCCGGCGATTCCCAGGCAGGCCGCCTAAGACAATCGCTTCGTAACGGACTAGAAATGTGTGCTGCCGCGAAACGTGTTGATACAGGCGACGAGAGTGAGGGAAAAAGAGAAAGAGACACGGGAGAAAAGAAGGAGAGAGAGAGAGAGAGAGAGAGAGAGAGAGAGAGAGAGAGAGAGAGAGAGAGAGAGAGAGAGAGAGAGAGAGAGAGAGAGAGAGAGAGAGAGAGAGAGAGAGAGAGAGAGAGGGTGAAGCCACTGGAAAGCTTATCATCCTCACGGTTATCACTGCTTAAGCGTTGTGTTACGTTTGTGCCTCATGTTAGGCTCGTTCAAAACATATTGTGATCAATGGAAAAACGATCGATTTGCCACGCAAAATAGGGCAAAAAATGTGGACCGAAAAGTGATGTTGCTGGGCGCTGAAATGCTGCAGCGGCAGCCCTTGCCGTCGGCTACGGCTGCGGAGCGGCGCGGCCCCGCCTCGACCTCGAGAACGCAGGCAGTGCCGACCGTTCAGAAAGAGCAGGGTCGATGGCACTAGGATTCAGCTCCGCTTTGTACGCCGCAGGGATGTGTATAGACGACAAAATAGACCAAAATATGTTCCAAGAAAGCGACTGACTTTGTAGAACGTTAAATGTGCACGACCCTCATGGCTTGTGGGAGCTGTCTACGTCAGTCATCATGCCTTTCTTTGCGGACATTTGAGAAGACGGTCGCAGTTGTGCAGAACTAGAGCCAAACACGCGAGGGGGCCGGTGCGGAAACCATTTCCGTTGCTGTCCACGTTTAGATGCGAAGTCACGGAAATGGTCTGTTCATGTTTCATCAGCCATGATTACCAGAGAAGCACAAGTCACACAGCGATTCAAGACAGGCGCGACGGGATCGTTTATCCCGAAATAAACACGCCCCGACGTCGCATCGCTTGATGTACGATGAGATGTTCAAGTCACTGGGCAAAGCTTAGTGCATTTTCAAGTGCCTTCATGCGAACAATATTCTGAGCATATGCCGTTTTGATGGCGTCCTGGACGATGGCTTATAATGATGCTTTTCGAGAAAATAGTCGTTGCAGACCTGGCACATAGGTCACAGCTCGGCATATGTTCGCTGTTGACCAAGAGGAGACATTTGTTGCTTGGAATCAGTGGTGTGGTGCAGTTGCGTCATTTGGAAGCCTACCTAGATTGAGCTGCCCTCAAAACAAACAATCGTATTTTCACAGTTGTAGGTTGCTATGTGCAAACAGTCACGTGCTCTGGACCGCAAACCATGGATCACACCGTTTTTAGGTCGTTTTAATGATTGCTGTAAGATCTCAGCTGCCATAGAAAATGGAGGTAGGACGTGAACTGCGCCGTGCAGACGAGTTTGCCGTCAACAAACCTGCTAACGGATCTAAAATTTGCGATAGTTGCTCCGGTAATCGACCGGAATGCGGCTAATGTCACGCTTTCCGAAATGGATCCGACGTACACTCGAGCTTTGCCGAGAGAGATCGGCAGTCGAGAATTACACGGGCGTGTGGCTTTGTTCATTAGGAGGCAATATTTTTCCAAATATTTGCGTTTTTCTCAAGAGTTTTATCACAACTGCCAGAGCCGTAAATCACGGCGACTTAATCGATTTCATCGATTAAATTGTCAAGCCCGTCCAGATGTCTGGCCGACCTTGTTTCATGTTTTCTTATCAGCAGGTTGGCGTACAGGTGCTCATTAGCGGGCCAGGGCCTGTTAGATTCTATTCAAGGTAGACTTTCCAACGTATCGATCAAACCCATTGATGTCGGCGACTGAAAGTGTCCGGCTTTATTAGCCCAGCTTTTGCTATCATCTGGGCGATAACAAGTGATAATCCTCACAGCTTTCTTGAACCCGCTCGTCCCACGCTGCATAGCGAGTTGCTGTTGACATTTTCGTTCCAATACGTGTGTACGCTGCCAACTATACTGCAACGTGATTGGCTGAGGCAACACATGTATGATCAAACACAGCATAACACAAAATTGCTACACTCGTACACGCGCGTAACGCCGGAAACATGCTTTCATCAATTTTTTCTCATTTATTCATTGTCTTCGCTAATGCCCGCTTTGAAAGTTGAGCTTCGGAGCGCAGCTTTGTCTATTGTGTTCTGTGAAAGTGTTGGCAGGCTATAATCAAGCACATTCATCAGACCATACACGTGTGGGCAAACGGCCTACGAGACATCACAGAACATCTGGTGTCCATGTGACGTCAAACACACACTCAGCTTAGGCAGCGCAATACAACTCACAGGTCAAAGCGTCACAATCAACCCTAATGCGATGTCGCCAGTCAGTGCCCTGTTCTGCCCCGCCTGCCCGCCTCGTGGAGCGTCATCCGCGTCGGAGCGGCCCGGCCCTGATCCGTGACCCCCGCCCGCGGCCGTGTCACCGGGCCACGACCGCCTCCGTCACGGCACGGGCCCGTGACGCAACGGCGCGAGCCGGGTCACCGCGGCCGCCGAGGGGCATCGCCGGAGGCGCCGCGGGAGGAGCAGCCTGTGACGGCCGGCTGCAGGGTGGCGCGCCTTTCACGACAGCAGACGGACGTCATTAGAAAGGAATGCCGGGTGGCGGAGGTCGGGGACTCTCCGAGAGGTCTCCGAGAGGTCTCCAAGAGGTCTCCGAGAGGTCTCCGAGAGGTCTTGGAAAGCGCCATGCGGGCGGCGCCGGGTCCTCGGGCAGAACGCGCGGCTCGGGAGTAGTTGAGAGGATTCTCAGAGGCTGCCACGCCCATCTGGGAGAGCGCAAGCAGCCGGGAGGTTGGTAGTTGGCAATGCTTGACGGTGATAGCCATAATTCATACTCATTGGTCCATCACATGCATGCGGAATTCGGGAGCACTCGGAGCTCACAGAGTTGAATGGTCCCACAGAGACGTTCATGGATACACCATCGAAGAGCAGAACCCCTAAAATGGTGTCAGGTTGAGTGTTCACCGACGGCAGTCGGATGACGCCTTCTTATCGACTTTCGAGGCAATGACCCATGGAACTGAGTGGGCCATAACTAAACCATGTTTTCAGCAGTTTTCACAACGCGTGCCTAGTGGTTGCTCTTCCAGAATTATCTGAGACGGACGCGACCCGCTGCCGCTTACGTAACAGCTCGGGTAGCGAGCGTGGTCCGAGCTTCTGACCTACTGTCGGCGCGTGCACGCTGTTGGGCTCCCTTCACCGGTGCCGTGTGCGCGCTGATGGGTTCCCTTCACCCATACTGCGTGCGCGCTGATGGGCTCCCTACACCCATGCCGCGCGGTCCAATGGACAAGTTTGGCTGCGCATCCAGTGACCAGCGGGCAGGTCGGGACTTCGAGGGATGGGACTACCACGCATGGTAAAGCCTGTTCGCCTGACTGCGGCTCATGTTGAGACGTGTATGGAGTTTCCAATGCTGCCTTCGACGCCGGATCATAACATAATGGTCGATTGTAACGGCAAGGCTGCAGGCAAGAACTGCTGGCAAAATGTGACACATCACCTTGAAAGGCGACGCCAGCTGACCCACCGTGCTCACGCCGTGACCGGATAACCTCCGACGCCACCGCCACATGCCCCGGATGCTGCCCCCCCCCCCCCCCCCCGAAGTGTGACACGGCGGCGGCTGACCTGGTCTTTTTGCCCGCCAGGGGGCGGCGACGCCCCGCGCCGGCCGGGCCGCCCAGCCCGCCGCCGTACCGTCACACATGCAGAGGCGGGACAAAGCGCGGCAGGCGTCCCGGGCGGTCGTGTTTGAGCTCCGTGACTGGGTGGGAGCGAGCGGGCGCTGCCGGCGGCGGGCGCTGTGTGACGCGATGTTTGTGCGCGCCGTTGGGAGGGGCTGGGAGCGGCGGTCACGCAACCGTCGGCGCTGCCACCAGCGAGCGTGTGTGTGTGTGTAAGTGTGTGCTCACGGCTACAGAACGGGTGATGTCGCAAAACACGAGCGGGACGGGCAGCAAAATAAGAGCGCTTGGGAGATGGTGCTCTTGCAAGAAAAACTCCGGAGGAAGCAAGGCTGTTCTCTAGCGTAGGTGAACCATCTTCGGGTAGCGTATCCCCTGTGAGTTCACTCACAAATTTGTCATGGACATTATGCCTCATGTGCATGAAGTCAGTTACCAAGAATTCATAGACATATGTTGATTCCATGCGGTCGGCAGCGTAGCCAATTCCCGTGAATCATGCCTGTCATGTAATAACAGTGTCCGGTCGCGAAGCGTCCAGTGAGCCGTGCTCGGCCATTGCCGTAACCAGACCGGTGGCACACCGCCGTCCGTCTCCGGAGAAATTCTGCAGCCCTTCCAGCCATGCACCTTTCCTGGAAGTGAAACGCGATGGTGCGTGGACACGTCTGGCGGGCAGACCGGCCACGGCGGTCTATGCAGGGCCTAACCGCCGGCGCCGGCCGGCGTCCAGCCACCCAGGAGTCTGGTTTCGATCGGCACGGGACAAATGTCACGAGCTCGGTGATCACGCTCGACTGCTTTCCCCCACTGCAAGCGATGCAACGAAAGTGACCCGGCGATGAGCGAAAAGTCTTCATTCTTTTCAAGCTGGATCAAGTCATCAAATGATCCCTACGTTCGTTGTGCAATAATCACTGCGTAATGCGCCGTGTGGTGTTATTTCTCGTATAAGCTGGTTTTAAAAACCAATATTTTCTGACTTGCAACACCGCTCTCCGTCACCACTCAGGCTTGTCGACCCAAGCTCCCATGAGTTGGCGACCCAGTCATGTTTATGACCCGTCCGTGACCTCCGTGACCTATTGCAGGTCTGGTGAAACCGGGCAACTGCCCGCGGCATGTGCTGCCATCTAGCCGCTGCGTCTGGAACCAGACGGACGAATGCGTTTCCGACGCGGAGTGCAGCGGCGTCGCCAAATGCTGCTCCACCGGCTGCGCCAAGTTCTGCGTGATGCCGCTGTACACTGGTGAGCAGGGCCGAATCGAGGGGAGTTTCACGGACACTGACGGCGTTTACCCCCAGCCGAACCCGTTGTTGTCTGCGGCCTCACCAACATCTACTGTCGCGACATGCTTAACGGCACATACACAACACAACAAACATGAAAAGGCGCGCCGAAACGCCCATTCGGTACCTCTTCTGACTAGACTGAAGACCAAGTCGGCTAAGCAACATCAGGAAAATCGCTCGGCTGCCGTCCGCGCGCCGCCGGCCGCCGGCAGCGGCGGGCCGTCGCGAGTCTCTCCCCCGCCGAGCGGCAGCCGGCCGGCTCCGGCCGAAGCGGCGCCGTTCCTGCACACTTGACCGAGTGGACGGCGGCCGGACCGGGCCGGCCGGCCGGCCGGACAGGCGCCGTTTCACTCTCTGTGACATACTACCCCAGTGTTGCCGGCGGTCCAGGATCCGGTCCGGGCCGGGCCGCGGCCGGTCCGCCGGCCCGGGCTGCCTCCTCGCGACTACCGGCGCAGGCCGCCGGCAAAAACAGGCAGCTGTGGACGAGCGTGTTGACGCCCCAGCGGCACCGCGCTGTCGTTAGGGCGGCCTGTAAATGGTGTTGTGAACGGCGGGTGGTTGGCGGTATAAGTGGAGTGCCACAAACAACAGGCACGGTGGGAAGCGTGGGGCAGACCCACTCTTAGGTCGGCTACAGCGCGGCGCCCCTGTCAGGTGTCTGCACTGCTTATTTAGTGGGCTCGTTGCCCTCGGGCGTTACGTGGAGCCGCCGCAGCCCACGCTGGCCCATTTGCAGCTGGGCCTCCCGCGCTGGGAGGGGCGGTGGGAGGATTGCGGCGAAGCCTGGGTCATCACCCGAGCAATGGCGGCTTTCTCTGCAAACTGGGGGCCTCCTGCAGAACACAGCGTCATGCGCGCGGCCAGGCTCGCAGGGGGCTGCAGAGAAGGGCCGCCACACGCTCGGCCCGAGTCATCAGCAGAGACACGGTGACAGAGGACTGTGGCGGGCGAGCGGCACAATTATTGCACACGTCTTGAGTAATTCGGCACGACAGAGCTGTAGTATAGAATATCCGTGTGGTTAAGGATGCTACCCCACATAGTGTGTGGCCTGCCATTTTCTGTGCAACTAGCCCAAGGTTTTTCAGATGTCCCAAATACCTTTCCCCACTTGATCAAACCAAACCAAACTAAACCACGGGCCGAAGCCGTCCGATTTGTAGCATGGCTTCATTGATAACACCTCCAATCATAGCCTCACTTTACGGAAAATAACCACCTACGCCAACTTCCCACTCCCATGCTACCGAATGACGGTGTGATGTAATCGCTAACATGGTAACAACCTGAGAAACGCTCCACAATGACCACCGTCGGCGCGGCCGGCCCCGCTGCCCCGTCCATGTGAGGCCCGCCGGCCGGCCCCGCTGCCCCATCCATGTGAGACCCGCCGGCCGGGCCCCGCTGCCCCGTCCATGTGGGACCCACCGGCCGGCCCCGCTGCCCCGTCCATGTGGGACCCACCGGCCGGCCCCGCTGCCCTGTCCATGTGGGACCCGCCGGCCGGCCTCGCTGCCCCGTCCATTTGGGACCCGCCGGCCGGCCCCGCTGTCCCGTCCATGTGAGACCCGCCGGCCGGCTCCGTGTCCGCCGCTCTGTATGACGCAGCGCCTGACGTCGGCAGCGTGTGAACAGCAGCTGAAGTTCTCGCTGCGGAGGAGCCGTGCGCTGACGGGCGAGGCGGCCCGACGCGTGCGCATCCCCGACTGCACCCCCGACGGCCAGTTCAGGCCGGTGCAGTGCGACCCGGTCAAGGAGATCTGCTGGTGCGTCGACGACAACGGCTTCGAGCGGGCCGGCACGAGAGCGCGCTCGCTCGAGCTCACCAACTGCTCCAGTGAGTACCGACGGGATCCTTACAGAGACTGCCGGGAGAGAGAAGCGATGAGTAGAGCACACATATTGTTGGTGGGGGGGGGGGGTATTGGCGTTGTGGTCAATGCCCAATTTCGGTGGGTCCTTATTCTCTTGCCCGAATTGGGGGCAGGTATTGCTCCAGCGTTTCTTCGATGCGTCTTTGCAGTGAATAGCTTAAAAAGCAGAGTAAGGTATTTCCCAGCCCCACCCCTACTCCCACCCCCGCTTCGCTAAAGCAACGTCCGCCAGACATGCCCCGCGGTACATCCGAGTCATCTGAAGTCATCTGCACGCTTACGCCGCCGACTCGCGGTAGCGCAAGAGAACTGGGTGAATGGCATGCCACCGGTGCAGTTTTCCGGTGAAAACTCGCCCCGGCGGGACCGGTCGGCGACGGGGGCGTTGACACCGGCGTCCGCCGAGCCCGGGCGTCCCGCCGCCCAGCCGGTGGCTATCTGGGAGGGACTCGTGTGGGCTGCACAGCCGCTGCAGGCACGAGATCAAGAGACGTCTGGCGGCCGGCCACCGGCCAAACACGAGCCGCCAGGCGGATGCGCGGCGTGGATTGGCACACTTACTGGGGCGGGTGGTCCTGACAAACGTGATAAGCTGCGGTGTTGGGGGCGCCAGCCGGTCAGGTTTTCACGCGATGTGTTACAATAAAGTCACGATTCCTGCATCAAAACTATGGCCTGGTGTATGCATGACATGTTTTCATCTTGACAAAAACGACATTGAAAAAAACAATGGAGAGCACGATTGAGATGCCTTTTATAGTCGGTTCCTGCGGGCGCAGCAAATACAGTATTCATGCGCGTATTCGGCGGGTGCGAGGGAAGCCATGTGTCAGAATCAGTTCATAGGTTGACGTGTTAGCCCTGACGAAGCCATTCGTACTTCCTCCGGAAATCCGTCTCCCACGGCCACGTTTGAGGCCGAGTTGTTTGTCGCCGACCCTGCGATAGTGACGCGCTGGGCGGGCGCTTATACGGAGCCAACAGGAAGCTGAGACAAAGGGAGACAGACATATAAGTGGGAGAGAGGGAGGGGTCAGGCTAGCAGAGAGAGAGAGAGAGAGATAATAGGAGAGAGAGAGAGAGAAGAGAGAGAGAGAGAGAGAGAGAGAGAGAGAAGAGAGAGAGAGAGAGAGAGAGAGAGAGAGAGAGAGAGAGAGAGAGAGAGAGAGAGAGAGAGAGAGAGAGATAAGAGAGAGAGAGAGAGAGGAGAAGAGAGAGAGAGAGAGAGAGATAGTGAGGCGAGAGAGAGAGATAGTGAGGCGAGAGAGAGAGATAGTGAGGCGAGAGAGAGAGATAGTGAGGAGAGAGAGAGAGAGAGAGAGAGAAGAAGACGATACATGGAACGAACAGATTTTGAATGCGAACAATGTCAGATAGAAAAGATGCTAACGATACAATAGAGGGAAAGGTGACACAAGTCATTGGGCATCTATTACCGAAAATCATCTCGATCTATCTATCGGGGCGCTGTATCAGCCCGCGCAAGTTCGAGCTCGCCCGCTATCAGCCCCCCTGAGCTGCTGTGCCGGCCGTGCAGGCGCGGTCTCGCCGCCCTCTGACCCCCTCGCCCTCACCCTGCAGGGCAGGACGACTGCGCCTCGGTCAACTGCCCGCATGTTGGTCCGTATAGCTTCAGCTGAACGAGCGGGGCTGTCCTCTGCCAGTGCTGGGACCCGTGCCAGGACGTGCGTGCCCGGCCAGCTGTCCTGCCAGCTGGAAGATGCCGTGCGCCAACGAGCCCTGCCCGCCCGTGCCCACCTGTGAGTATGACGCAGATCCCCTCACGCTCCGCTGGCTTGACGGACAGCAGTGCTGTAGCGTCGTTTTGTGATGCTTAGAAAGGCTTGGTTTGTACGTTTTAATTAGAATACAGAGTAGCCCATAGTGGTGTTGTGAATCGACGCGGTTAGTCGGGCGTGGTCTTTGTGACGGCTTGGAGCGCTGAAGTGGAAAATGGATTGCTTAGATTACTGGCCCCAATGGAAAAATTCATACCCTTCCCCCATTGACCATAGCAAACATAGTGATGTGGCCACCGCGGCTCTTAATGCACTGCGTGTGGGCGTCGACATATCTATTATAACCGCTTGACTGTGGGTGGGGTGAGCCTTACACCAATGGTTGTAATGAGCGGCTGCAGATGGAGGTGTTGCTTTCTGTGAGGACCTGTCATTCCAAGATAGTCGTCCAGTCTACCTGTTAGGCAACAGCCTCAATCATCGAGCGTAATCGACCACATGTCAGGCATAATTGTGGACAGAAGTCCGGTTGCGTTATACAGTTACCAGCGCATGTTATGCCATTCGGAACCATATGGTGGGAAGGCTGTGCTACAGGAAAGTGAAAAATTTGCTAGCCACTGCCCAAGTGGTTATAAAACTATGTGCCAACAGCTTGGAGGCACCATCTTTGTTTCAAAAAATCGGACAGGCGCTTACGGAACAGATCGTAGTGGGCACAAGGAAGAAACTCACTTCCCCCAGCTCACTACCGCTCTGACGTCTTCCATTCCAGGCAAACAGCCCCGTTCCCTGGAGACGCTCTGCCTGGCGGGACGACCCCTGACCTTCGCAGAGGGCAACCGACCGTCCTGTGCGGCACCGACTCGGGAAAACCTCAGTGTCCGCCCCTGCACGAGTGTAACGTACCCTCAGGTCAGCTTCAGTGTCCATTTGGCGGCGTCCACTTCCCAGTGTGCGTCCCATGATATGAGTGAGTCTGCTGGCGGTATTTCGCAAGATCATCGCACGTGCCGCATCAAAAAGCGGAGTTTATGACGCGTCGCATCTTCGGTTTGCGTGCCTGGTGTGGCTTGCTGAGAAGGGCGCGAGATACTTAGAGACAGAGTTTTTAGAGTTTTTTTTTACTTAGAGTTTTTTAGCGTTGCGCCGCTTCTGACAGCATCCTTGTCGTCCCATGACAGTTGTCACACCACAGCTGATCTGGGACAGTTTCGACGCTCTATTGTGATGAAACCGGTCTTTGTGGAAATAGAAAATATGAAAGAGAAGAGAGAGAGAATGTAGCGTTCGGGCAGTTCAAGATTCAAGAATAACGGAGTTTGGCTAGTTGATTAGACACGCACACACACACAAACCACGCACACATCAATATTATATCATATATATATATATATATATATATATATATATATATATATAGATAGATAGATAGATAGATAGATAGATAGATAGATAGATAGATAGATAGATAGATAGATAGATAGATAGATAGATAGATAGATAGATAGATAGATAGATAGATATTGGAGAGGTTTCATGATTGACGTTAGAGCGCTGGTATCTTCCGGTTCGTTTTTGTCATGAAAAGATTTTGACAAGTTTGAGCATTCGTGCTCCTTTCTCTTTGATTGACTGTACTCTCACCAACCATCCCGTTCACATATTGCGGCCAGCTTCTCTGTGTCATGCCGGTGTCGATGTCCCCACCACACGCTACACGTAGTTAGTGCTCTGATCCCAACTCGAGTGCGAAACAAAAATAACGTAGATAAACCTATTTAAGAACGACTACCGACTTTCCGCCCACCATCTATGACCTGTCGGAGCTCTGGCTTGTGTGACCCGCGTCGCCGTTTCGCCAGGCGCTGACTACGGCGTATGCTGTCCGTCGATGGAGAAGGCGCTGGCGCCACCGGCCCGCTGCCCGGCCCCGCCGCTCGGCGAGCGGGAGGTGTGCGGCGTGCCCTGTCAGTTCGACTTCCAGTGCTCGCGCTACGACGCGTGCTGCCGCTCGCACGAGTGCGGCACCCACTGCGTGCCCACCACCAACAAAACCAGTGAGTGTGATGCCGTGGCTCGCCCCGCCCGCTCGAGACGAGCATCAGCGACATGGCGTTCGAGGTCTGGGGCTGAGGCTCCAGGGTCCGTGGCCTGGGACTGAGGCTCCAGGGCTCGAGGTCTGGGGCTGAGGCTCCCAGGGTTCAAGGTCTGGGGCTGACGCTCCAGGGTTCGAGGTTTGGCTGAGGCTCCAGGGTTTAAGGTCTGGGGCTGAGGCTCCCAGGGTTCAAGATTTGGGGCTGAGGCTCCCAGGTTTCAAGGTCTGGGGCTGGAGCTTTTAAGATATGTTTGGTTCATGTACTGAAAACGTTAATGTTATGACCAGGAGGTACCGCCAGACGAATACGCCGACCTATCGGCGGTACCTTTGCGGTACCGCCGATAGGCCGCCATACGTTCACCAGGGCTTCCGTGAGCATTTCTTGTGTTCCTATCACACCTGAGTGGGTCACCGGCCGTCCTCTCTCGGAGCGCGGACGAGCCGCACGGGCCAGCCCTCGCAGCCCCCTAACCCGTCGGGGCCGTTCGACAGAGTGCGAGCAGAAGCGCCAGCTGGCCGAGCTGATGATGATTAACGAGAAGCAGGGCCGCGGCTACGTGCCGCAGTGCACCGAGGACGGCAGCTTCGAGCGGCGGCAGTGCTCGCGCAACGGCCTGGTCTGCTGGTGCGTCGATCCGGACGGCACCAACGTGCGCGGGACCATGGGCCCGGCCGACGGCGTCGTCTGCCACCCGTCCGACGGTGAGTCACCGGGGTGGCGACCACGCGGGCACGGGCGGGGCCGAGCACGGCGGCGACGGCCGCGCCCGAATGACCTTTTTGACCGTGTGAAATTAAGTGATAAGCTAGGGATTTATTTCGCTTCCCATTGTGAGCTTTTGTTGTGATTTATTTAAAAATTACAAGACTCGTGTGCAGCAATATTCTATGCGTGAATGATTAAGTTAGATGTATAAGATGTTAATAAAGCATGCCTGCATTATATATGTATATATTATATATATATAATATATATATATATATGTAAATACAGTACGTAATCGAACGTCCATCGTATGTAGCATCAAATGTTATGAGGCACACCACTCAACAAAGGTCACACTTCCTCAAGGGAAGTACAAGTCCCCACCTCACTCGTCACCAACTGACGTCTGCCGTGCGCCTGGCTCTCGGCAGTCAACCGCATCAGCAGCGGCCGCTCTCTGGGCTGCGCAACGCTGCGCTGCGCCGAGGTCTGCCAGTACGGCCACCAGCCGGACGCGTCTGGCTGTCCCACCTGCCAGTGCGTGCGCCCGTGCGACGAGTACCCCTGCCCCGAGGGCACCGTCTGTGTGGCCACGCCCACGCCCGGCTGTCACGGCCCGCTCTGCCAGGCCACGCCCAGCTGTGAGTGTGGGTCGGGGTGGTAGCAGGGGCGTCGGCGGGAGACTTGAGAACCCGAAGCCGGCTGTTCTGGAGATGGTTGGGAATGGCGGGATGGAAGATGGGCAGTGGCCAAAGGGATAGCCCTAGTGGATACGGGTTATTCCTTTTTTCCTGGCATCTGGCGGCTTAATCTTGTTATGGAATGCATTAGCTCCTGACAATGCGTGTGCCATCGTTGCGATACCACGCAGTTCGATCTATAACTTTTTCGGCTTCGATACGATTGGCAAGTAAAAAAATCATGTTTTATCCGAGGCCAACCGTGCATCTCGCGTTCAGGGATAAAAGTGTTTTAATACCGGTACCGGGTCCGCAGGTGTTGCGTTCGAGATCCAGGGCACGCCCGACATCCCAGAGCAGCCTCAGACCGACAGTCAGCAGACGCCGAACGAGGGACTCACAGAAACTCACCAAAGCGAGCTGATGACTACCAACATGCACCAAATGAAGGCAGCCACGGAGCAGAACCAGCTGCCGACCGAGGGTGCCACCGGCTCGGGACGCGACCGCCGAGCCGGTCGCGGCCAGTTTCCCGCTGGAGGGCGGCTGGACGGTGGACGAGACCCCCAACGGTGTGGCGCTGGACGGGGACTGGTCGGCGCCGACGCCGGTCAAGGTGCCGCTGCAGGGCGACTGGGTGGAGTTCGAGGAGGGCAGCGGCGAGCTGGAGGAGCCGGTCGCGCGAGGCGCGGCGCCGCCGGCCGACGGCGTCCTCCAGGTGGTCGACAGTGTGGTGAGCGTGCTGATGGACCACCGCGCTCAGACCGGGGACGGCGAACAGACGGAGGTCGTCAGGGACTACCGCCAGCAGGGCCAGGGGCAGGAGAACGTCGGCGTCGCGCCGGAGGAACTCGACACTCCGGAGGATGGCGGCGCGCAATCCCAGGGCAGCGTCGAGAGCGTGCCCAGCGAATACGTGGGCGACGCCGACGTAGGTGACTTCGTCGAGTACGAAGTGGAGCAAAAGCTGCCGGCGCCTGCGCCTGAGGACTACACGATCGAAGCCAGGGTCAGCCACCAGGGCCAGGGGCTGGGCGGCAGTCGGATCCAGGCGCTGGACGCCACGGAGTTCCAATTGCTGGAGCATGAGCCAGAGAATGCCGTCGACCAGAGGTTCCCAGGCAGGCTGGATGGTGGTGGCGATCTACTGCCGCAGCGCCCCTCTGAAAAGCCAGGTAACTCGCATGTTTAGTGATAGACGGTGAATAATCCTTTCCGTCCAACATTGTTCAGTAGCGTCATGTGACGACAATGCTTTCATATTTTTGCTTTCAAAGACGAATCATCTGTCATGAGATCAAACTTGATACATATCCATGGCTCGCACGCCACAAGAGATGTCTAAGGATGTTTGACCTCATACCTGTGATAGAGATGAATTTGCAATTCAGATTTATGTTTTACACATATCGTCCTGCTACTTGCGCCACAAACTGTGTTTGCCGTCATGTTAAATGACACCCTCCCAGCGCATAGACTTTCGGCCTTTATCACGCCCTGCCCACGTGCC